TTTTTCTTCTCAACAGGCAAGCATGCATCAGCCTGATTGTGAGTGCTTGTCTTCTCCATCTGTATTAGTTGTGAGTAGGTTGGTTATCTATTCTCTCAACACTGGAGTCCCGTTCTAGTACAAATATCTCCTCTGTAAAGTGGAATCAGGTCTCTTGGTCCATGTTGTTTTTCAGTCCAATGATTCAAAGAAATTAGTATGTTTTAAGTAGGTCTTCTATTTGCACCTACTGCAACAATTCAGAGAGCAGAGATCATTGGAAGACAAGTAGGGCTATCTTCCCCCCCCACCAAATGTCAGACCAATGCAGTCATAAAGAACTCCAGGCCTGATTCTGTTTCAAGACTGAGACTGAGAAAAATCTCCTGTTGCTCACAAAGGTCAGGTACAGACACTCAAAAATGCAGAACCGGTCTAAATTTCCTGCTTTACTCTAAGCCCCCAACATTAGGTTGGGAGCAAACAACAGAGGTCTGCCCTTTGGGGGAAGGGTTGGGGCATGCAGGCTGCTTGTAGTGGCTGAGACCAGCGGGTTGGGGGTGCTCCTGCATGCTGTTCCTGCTCCCCTCCACCCCCCACAGCAGCCAGCTGCTGGCAGAGGGGCGCATATGTGTGCTGGCTAGCCCAGCCAGGCAATGGGAGGGGAGAAAGCGAAGAGTGGAGTTCCCACTATACGCGCCCCCACCCCCAACTATGTTGGCTCCGGTCTGGGGTGTCTGTCACTGGGGCAGAAGGTTGAGGTGGGAGAGTGGGACAAAGGATGCATCCAAGACACCAGTGACCGCAAAATGCCAGGGACTGAGGATTGCCTCCACCCTGCCTGGTGGGCACGTCCACCACATGCTGCTGAGAGCAGGGCATTGGGAGCGTCCGAGCCCAACTGCAGCCACCACATGTCCCTGAGATATGTCAGGCAGGGCCCAGCACTGGGCAGCTCCTGGGCCATCAGAGACATAAGGACTGGGAAGTGCAGCAGGCAGTGCACGTGCAGGGCCAGGGCTGTCACCAATGCACATATCCAGGGATGGGAGTGGGACAGGGGTGGAGTGGGAGCAAAGCAATGGGAAACGGGCTCCAAGAAGGCCAAGCTGCTCTGTGTGCCCAGCACTCTGTTGCCACCTGCCTTGCAGCGCTGTCCAGGTAGTTGGCCCTGCCCTCCCCAGCCCTTTTCTGCCTCTTGCTGGGTGACGTGTCCCACAGCTGCACCAGGGATGGTCCTTACAGGACAGGAGCTCTGGGTTTAGCATGCTGCTCCCTGGGACCCCCTGCTCTGGCTGCAGCTTGAGCCAGTGCCTTCCCACCTGCCTCTCAGGGTGGCTCCACTGGCTTTGGGCAGAGGGCATGGGGAAGGGGCTGGGGTTGGGGCTGGGGCCTGCAGCTTGTGGGATAATGGCACCACAGGGGGTCTGCCTGTCCCTAAACTTCCACCCTGTATGTCAGTGGCCCATGGAGTGGGCAAGTTCAGAGATGGACAGGCAAGTGGTGGGCAGGGCAGGGCTGGCTACCCAGGTAGTGCTGCGAGGTGGGCAGCAACAGAGCACTTTCTGCATAGAGCAGCTTGGTGTCCTTGGAGCGGGGTCCCATTACTTCACCCCCATCCCTCTCCTGTGCCTGAGGTGTGCGTCTGTGACAGCCCTGAACCTGCAAGCATGCAGCCCTCTGTGGTTTCCAGGCATGTCTGCCCCTGTCCCAGTGCTTCTGCCAGCCCAGGAGCTGCCTGGCATGTCTTTGGGGGCACATGTGTTGCAGCCAGGCTTGGATGCCCCCAATGCCCTGCCCTTGGCCAGGAGGGAGGGGGTAGGTGGTCCAGGGTCACTGGTATCTTTGTGTTTCTGATGTCTTGGCTGCAGCCGCTGTCTCATCCAGTCCCTACCCCACTCCCCTGCCTCACTGACAGCCACCCCAGATCCAGCTAGCACAGCGGGGTGGGGATGCATAGTGAGGGCTTCCCCCCTCCCCTGTTGTTGCGGCTTCTCTCTTCAGCCCTGCCCCACTTGCCCCACAACTAGGTGTTAGCAATGGGGGTGGGGAAAGGAGGGGAAAGCAGAGACCCCTGCGGCCTGGCTGGGTTGACAGAGGTAGGCAGGAGCAGGGCTGGGGAGTAGAGACTTTGCTGCCTCAGCTGTGTGACAGCCCGGGGAAGGGGCTGGCCTGGTGCTTAGCTGGAGCAAGCAAGCCTGGACTGAGGCTATTCTGGGATGCTGGGGGACAGCAACCTAAGTTGAGCTGGGAAGTGATCTGATGCAGAAGTTCGATAGACCGGTCTAACCTAAACTGATTAAATCTGAAGCCATCCACAGTGGCAACGCGAGGTGGTGCACGGGCGTGCACGTGCACTCCCTGAGAGGGCTGGTGCACCCCCTGACAGCTGCGTTCCCTGCTTCAGCAATGGGCAGGGGGAGCAGGTGAGAGTGCTAGTGCCCCCCTGAGAGTGCTGGCCAGGGAGTGGGGGCACCAGAAGACGCGATCCCCATGGCTGATCATGCTGACCCGGAAGTGCCAACAGCGTGCGCTTCTGGGTTGGCACGATCAGGCTTGGGGGACCCCCCTTCCTGGTCGCTGACTGGCTGCTGGGGGGGGCAAGTGCCCCCCGACTCAGGAGGCACCAGTCGCCCATGTCCATCCAGGTCTATTTTAGACTGGGTTCTACCATTACCACGTGCATTGAACTTCTGTTTTGTTACAGATTTAGACTGCTTTCTGATCACTTATACCACTTTGTGTAATATTTGTACCTAGCCAAAAATTCTACCACTCAGAACTTCGAATAAGCCAGATCTATTTTAAATGCAAGCATTTATTGCATGTATGCTAAGAAACAACTTGGCAGACTGTTTGCAAAAGCTCCACCTGGCAACACCTGGCCACTCCGGAGGAACGTTCCAAGACAATCTCCCATCAGAGTACTATCACTAGTCCCTTGAGCAGTACCATGGGATACCAAAAGTTTTTGCAGTGAGTCTGTCCTAGGAACCTGCTGTTTGACATGGGAGGGTCATAGCAAAAAAGACTGAATAAGAACCATCACAGTCCCAACTCAAAGATTTATTCTTGGAGCTAACATCAAAGCATTGCACACTTAGGAGAAGACATTGGAATGATTTCCTCATCTTCTCTTCTTAATATTAGCTCCACCTGATATCTTTTAACTATGTTTCTTCTTTGCACAGTGGTGTCATCAGAAAAAACATCATGAAAAGCTGTGTTCAATGAACTGAAAAAAATCAATGAAAATTTGCTTCAAAACTGGGAGGATTTTTGGTTTTCTTGGGTTTTTTTTCCATTCTGATTCCCCTCCTTTCCATGGAAAAATGGAATAGAGCTGTAAAGAAAAATGGAATAGAGATGTAAAGAAAATATCTTTTTCCTTCTGGAAACAGCTGGAATTTATTTCTCCTTTTTTGATGGGAAAATATGGGATGGTTGGAGAAAGATTTGAAAGAGCTAGGAACCCAAAACTGAGACTAAATTTCTAAAATGTAGTGAATGTTTGCTTCTTCTTTGACAATGGAGGGAATTAAAAACTTTGAACAAAATAAAACCATTCAGTATTTTCTGAAAATCTGCCCCCTTTCAGACCTTTCTACTTGAACAGACACGACTGAAGGCATTCAGTGAAGGTAATCCCTTAAAATTAGGCATGAATGCTTGCAGAGGGTCAGCAAAGGAAGGGACTGTGTACAGCAAGTACAAAATGAGACAGAAATAATGACAGTCCTCTGCACTTCTCATATTGGCATCTTGAACATTGCACAAACGTTAATTAAGCCTCCTGACACATTTGCCAGACAACTGAGGTACAGAGATGCTCCGTCTTGCCCAGGGTCAGGCAGTGAGACAGCGACAGGACCCAGGAATCTTTGCATTCCAGCAACTAGATTTACTGCTAGGATAAGAGATGACAACAATGTGGCTTAATTAAATTGGCATAATGTCCCCTTCTCTGCACATTTCAGAAGTCTAATATGGTTTAAATAAAAAATACTCCTTTTGGATCCTGCAGCTGGTTTCCAAGACATTCTTTGATAATCAGACAGCCTTTTGGATTCCTAAAGAAGAGTCACCTCCTTTGAGGATTATTTTTTGGCCTATCGGACACATTTTCAGAGGAAAAACAAACTGACATTGAATGCCTGAGTGCACAGAACACAAACTGGCAAGGAAGGTGGGGAATTGGGGGAAGAGCCTTGTTATGGGAAAGCCTCTTAGGAGTTACTGTTGTCTTTTTTTTTTTCTTTTTTACTTTCCGTGCATTCTAAGTTTCATCATGTGAAATCTGACATCTCTAGGGTTTGGTGTTTTGCTATTGCTGCTGCCCCCCTTTTTAAGTAACAAGAATAAATGGGGAGAGCTTGCAGGTCAAATGCAAAGAAATTGTCCATGTAAGCGAATGGTTTAGGGAGTATGTGGCGTTTTAATTTGGCTGTCGGCTGCTGCAGATCTTTCATTACCGACCTTTTGGTCCCCCATGTTCTTTTCAATTCGCAATCAGTCGCTGTAGGTATATTCAATTAAAGCTACTTCCCTCAGTGGTGGCAAGCACTGGCAGTCTGTATATCATTAAATATTTTTTTATGCATGGAAACAACATCATGATATCTCAATAGTCTGTGTCCTCCCATAAGGTGGCAGATAAATTCAATTCATAGATTTTGCATTGGGTATGGGATGAGAGAGAATTTATTCCTTTATCAGCACTAGCCTATTTGTCTGGGAAAAGTGACTGGAGTTATGTTTTATATTCATGCCAGTAGACCTAGTTCTTCCTTGTCTAAACTTTAGCAACCTGAGTTTTATAGTAACACCTGACAATGCTTGTTTGTGTCAGAACAGTCAGCAGAAAATAGGAAAGGAAAGAGCATCTGGGGAGTTTGAGGTGCCATTCAAAAATATGTCAGTCCTACAGTGTGAATTAAAAATGGGGAAGTTTGCCAAAGAACAGATTTTCTTTAGAAATGTAATTAGTTAACATGACTCGATTTCTTTCTCTCTTGTGAAAGAGTTGCCGGTAGGTCTCCTTGCATTGGAATAGTGTGCTTGCTTCGGTCCGTGCTATGTGCCACCGTTTGTAAGTTCCAGAAACCTTCAGAAAATAATACTGTTCCACAGGTATTGCCTCTGTCCACCTTTGTGTTACATCGTTAAATAACTAAGAAAAACAGTCAAGAAACTTTTTTTAACCTTGTGGTGTTCTGCAGGAAGAATTTCTTGCCAATGAGGACTTCACTTGCAGCAGCTCTACCTGCAGCACGAGAAATGCCATGTACTGACAGAACCTGTTTAGAAGCAGCATCGCATGTGCTTGAACCTCTAAACGAAAGCAGCAGGAGCTCAAGGCAAGTACTGTAAATTATGTCACGGGGATGGATTTTCCATGTTACTGCCTATTATGCCCAGGCTGTCCTCCAGCTTGTTTCCTTTTGTTGTTTCAAGATAATCTAGTGTGGGTAACAGCAGTAGATAAGAACACTTGGCATGACTTACTCCACTGAAATGAATGGTGATATAGGTGTAAAAATATTTGTGAGTCTGGCTCTCTTGTAGCTTGCAATGAAGTTATTAATTTGTATTACACAAATCACAGGTTGCAATGAAGTTGTATTAATTTGTATTACAATTTAAAACAACAACTCCCTGATCAAGGTTGCAGGCATGTTGGCATAGTTAATCATAATTAAATTGTGTTTATTGCAAGTCTCAGGAGCATTTAAAATCTATTTCTCAAGTGCCTGCCTGGTCCGGCAGCTGCCTCCACCTGGGAAGCATGCCCTCAGCCTTCCCCAGGGACTCTGCCAAGCAGGAATCTGCTGCATGCCCAGAAAGTCACCCTATTTTGGATTATTTTGGAGCACAGGTAAGAGGAAGTATGCTTCAGAGATCTAACAGCTTTTCACTTATAGCAAATAGGATCCTGTCTGATCGTCTCTTGACTGCTGCTGTGGCAGAATGGCACCAGGAAAGACTCAGCCCCTCAGGTAACCCAGTTCTAGTGTGAAGCTTTATAGGTCATGACCCACAGGTTAATGGGCCACAGCAACAGCACGTGTCCCTATGCAGTGTGACTTGAGACCCTTACTCACTGCACCCGAGCCCTCTTTTGGTTTGCTTTGTTCCATTCCTCTTAAACCTTCAGAGCCACCCTTGGGTGCTGGGGAGGGCGGTAGATTCTTCCTCTGTAGCAGGAGATTCTTTTTTTTTACTCATTTAACTTACACCTATGCAAAAGTAGTGCAGTTCTGCAGGAATTGCTGAGGGCCTAGTGCAGCCTGAAAATTGTTGCCATTAAAGATTCTGCAAGAGGAAATAAATTGGTTTGACTCTTTCAGTGGCTGGCTTGGGTTGACTAGACACAGGTGGCCAGAGATTATTTTTTTATTTTTAAAAACAGTGCTTGCTTTTCCATGGTATTCATGAACTTGATCCCATTTGTCTAAAGTAGCTTTTCACAATAGAATGCAACTTAAATTGTTGCCCAAAAGGAGCATTACCTAGTGCATATGGCACTGGACCAGGACTTGAGATGTGGGTTCTGTGCCTCTCGAGACACTGATACGCTATCTAATTCTAGGTGACTCATTTTACCTTCTGTCCCACCCTTTTTTTGTCTTGTATATTTACTAGGTAAGTGCTTTGATATGTAGGTATGGTCTGTTACGTTGACAGAGCCAAGCTCAGTATGATTGTACTGCCATAATACCAATACTAAAGAAAATACTTAACTTGGAATCTCCTCAGAGGCAGCTTCTATCATTGGGATCCAGGAGCAACAACAGTAGGATTGGATGGATGGTTGGATAGATATAGCTGATATCCTATGATATGTCATGACTTATATCCCATTCTACCATTCTTGAATCCTATATATATGTTATAACTTCAGGTCAACCAAAACTGAATTTTTGGCAATTATTTTTTCTTCAAAAACAAACCTGCACCCTACAATTCCACCTGGCTTCAGCTTTGGTTGCTATTTGGACTTGCTATGGGTAGAGATCCTTCTTAAGGGGTGGGGGTGGGGTGTGCATAAAACCTGAAGCTATTCACAAGTTCAGAACTATTTTGCAGATGGTGTCAGCTTAAAAACAAACAAATAATGGCATTGCTTGTTTCTCCTTTTATCCAGGAGCTACTGGTTAGGGCTGTCATCAGTTTCCCTGGCTGTGAGAGACAAAGCTTCAGTTTCCTCCTCTGCATGAAGAGTTATGAATGCCCATCACCCACCTTCCACAAGAGTACTCCAACCACTTGGCTAGAGCTTCCTATACTGCCTAGGCACGTCTTGTGCATCTTAGAGTAGTAAGTGGTGAGAGGCAAGGCTTTTGTGGGTAATATCTTTTATTGGCCTAACTGCCTAGTCAGAATAGACTTTCATAGACATCAGGGTTGGAACAGACCTCACAAGATCATTGGGTCCAGCCCCCTGCCCAATGGGCAGGAAGTCAGTTGGGGTCAAATGATCCCAGCAAGATAAACATCTAAGTGTTTTTTGAAAGTGTCTGGAGTAGATGCATGTACCACATCTGGGAGGAGTCTATTCCAGGCCCTGGGGACTCAGACAGTAAAGACGATTTTCCTTATGTCCAGCCTAAAATAGTCCTCCAGGAGTTTATAACTGTTGGATCTTGTCTTCCCTTGGGCTGCCCTGGTGCACAGGCATTCCCCAAGATCCTGATCCACACCCCTTATGTACTTACAGGCTGCCTGCCACACTTTTCCAAGCTGAAGAGTCCAAGGCCTCTCAGCCTCTCCTCATAAGGCTGTTCTCTTGACTTCTAATCATGTGCATGGTTCTCCTCTACACCCTTTCAAGCTTTTCCACATCCTTTCTGAATTGCAGAGCACATAATTGGATGCAGTATTTCAGCTGCGGCCTCACCAAGGCCAAGTAAAGTAGGAGGGTGACTCCCTGGGTCTTGCTTGAGATGCTTTGGTACATGCAAGCCAGAGTTTTATTTGCTTTGACAGCTGCAGCATCTCGTTGGTGGCTCATGTTCATCTTGTGGTCAATCACTGCCAAGCCTATAAGTGTGATGTGGGCTTTTTCTTCTGAGGTGGACCACTTTGCATTTCTCCATATTGAACACCATCAGGTTTTGATCTGCCCACCTTGAAAGCCTGTCGACGTTGGCCAGGATCGCCAGCCTATCCTCTACGGTGACCACACTTCCCCATAGTATGGTATCATCAGTGAACTTAGCCAGTCTGCTTCTGACACCAGAGTCTAGATCATTTACAAATGCATCGAAGAGTATAGGACGGAGCCCTGGGGAATGTCACTGGTCACCATGCACTATGTTGATTTGGTTCCATCAACTATCACTCTCTGGGTCTGTCCAAGGAGCCAGTTCCCCAGCCATCAGACTGTAAGGTTGTTGAGCCTGCAGTTCCACAATTTTAACATGATAGCAGCTCAAAGGCTTTCTTGAAGTCCCAATATATCATATCAACCTCTTCTCCTTTTTCCAGATGATGGGTCACCTGGTCATAGAAGGAAATGAGATTGGCCAGGCAAGACCTACTTGCAATGAAGCCATGCTGGCTATCTCTCTCAGAGTGTTGCCTTCTGTTAGCCTGTTGTTACTGGTTTCCCTGATTATTTTTTCCAAGATCTTTCCAGGGAATGAGGTCAAACTGATTGGCCTCTAGTTCCCCGGATCTTCCTTCCTCCCTTTCTTGAAGATAGGCACCATGCTGGCCTTCTTCCAATTTTCAGGTACCTTGCCTGAGTGCCACGAGTTCTCAAATATCCTCACCATTGGCTGCGCTATGATGTCAGCCAGTTCCTTTAGCACTCTTGGGTGCTTTCCATCCAGGCCAAGTGACTTAGACATCTTTTGAATGCAAAACATTGTTCATCACATTGCAGCAGCAGTAAGTTATACATTCATTTATATTGTGAGAAGTTTTTTTTATTATGCAGTGACTTGGCTGAATTTAAGGCAATTTCCCCCACATCTCTAAAGTCTTCAATTATTTAACCATATGAATTATTGTTGCAACACAGAAGATAGTTTAAAATTGTGAAATACAGGGTTATTAAAAATTGATATTGGGAAAGCCTGAAAGTCCAAATAGCTAACACAGACTAATGACTGCAGTCCAGAAATTTTTTTTCTTCCTTCATCACAGCATATGACAGGGAAATTAATGCACATGCTGTCACAATATTGTCCCTAACATATTCTTGTGGCACCTCACCAGGGTCCCTTAGGCCAAGAATATGGTTTACTAGGGCAGCAGAGAAGTACTCTTTTCAGTCACCTATCTGTACCTGTAGTAACCCAGCACTGGCAATCGTATGGCTGCTGGTGGTTAGCTGCTGGTTCTGCTTGTGTGCTGTGATGCTGAAGAGTTGTACAGTGTGTTGTAGAAACTAAAACCATCTTGGGCTTTCCCACATATGTCATCCACCAGGCAGTCCTGTTCAGGGTAGACCCTGACCTTCTTTCTTCTTTGTATTTATCTCCACACTCCCTTTCCCAATTATGTTATTTTGATGTAAGGGATGAACAAAATGGGTAGCTGTAAAGAAGAAACAGTTCTTTGTATCTGTCTTATTTTTTCCATTTTTTTCCAGCCACTAAATTTTCTGTGGATTTGTTTTCTCTTCATTTGGCTGGGCATGTGGTTCTCAGTTCTGGAGTCCCAACTCAAGTTCAAACACCCATTTAAGCTTCTCTAACCAATATGACCTCTAAGCAAAAAAACATAGAGCAATGCTGCAATTTCATTTTCCAGAAAAGGCTTGACAGCAGTATTTACAACACTGTTAATCATTGCAGATCATGTGGTCCCACAGTATGAATATCACAGATTTTGTGACTTCCTGGATCCTAGTTCTGTGCTTTCTAGTCCAGTTTTTATCTTTGTTCCAGTTCCTGATTAGAAAGAGAACTAGAAAAGGAAATGGTCAATGGATTATTTTCCTCTTCTGTAATCCAAGCTTTTTTATGTCTAAAATTGATTGAATCTGAATTTTCACTAATTGGGGAGGGGGTGAGGAGGGGGAAGGAGGAGGGCAGAGGGGGTGTTAAACTTCTAATTTTCTTTTATTTATGTATTAGGTCTTAAAGGTATAACTGCTCTTATTAGGGGTGTAATGCTGTATTTTAAAGAGGTAGTTAGGCTGATAAAAATGTGTCTGTACTGTATATTCTCTGTCCTATTTGGGAATTAACTATACTGGTTATATCTATTTGTGTCTCTAGCCAAATCAGTTCTGACATCTATTGACTGAGCAAAACTCAATCATTCAAGTCTGTGTGGTGCTACCACTGGCGAGTATTCTACCTCCCAGCCTCTTCAGCCTGGGGCTTAAGTTACTTCCAATTCCATGGCAGGCATCCTGTATGCAAGCCTGGAGGCCTTGGGGTTCAAATGCCCCCTAGTCTCACTTGCCCCTACCCAAAAGGCCATAGGTGCAACATGGAGGGAGAGCCTGAGAACAATCCCAAATCGCCATAAACTATGTAGTCATGATCCTCTCACTGAAGACTATAGTAGACTCTCATAGTGGTGCCTGCTCACAGTTCAATGGACAG